ACTCCAAGTTCCCGTAGAACATCTGCGTCGAATACGGGAAACGGAAGGCATTGGCTCCATCAGTCGCGAAACACAACATTTCTCGCGTAAGTACAGATTTAGAGTGTTTCAATAATAAACGTCCATTCATATACGTTTTATAAACAAACTTTTCATTTCAAAAACAATGGTTTTCTTGTGCGAAATGATTTGTGGGAGAAATTTTTTAATGCATCAAATGATAATTGCGTTCTCTTAAGTCCGAGCTAAGAGCGAGTTACGATTCTCAAAAAAAAACTCTTCTAAAAACTTTCATTTTTTAAATTTTTCCAGGTGCTGTTTTCAGATGTGATCGAATACGGTACTAATTTGCCATTACTATAAATTCAATTTACTGAATTCTTTCAGAAAATTTCAAATTTTTAGAAACCACAACTATGCATGGACCTAAGCGAATATTCCAAGGCAAAGAATTCTCAACATATTTCTGGATACTCATGATGCTAGCGTCCGGAATCCTTCTTATCTATCAAGTTGCTACTTTGCTAACTATGTACTTCAGTAATCCCATCGTTTCACAGGTACATTTACAATCGCTAGACATCTTTTTATGAATTTATCAATTAAAAATTGTGAGCATTCTTCCTGAATTACCAACAGGAAACAATTTCAATGCAGCTTCTGGGAATTTTGTATAACATTAGGCATTTGACCAGACTTCTGCTGGGCTAGCCATTTTCGTGAAGGACACATTGTCTGCGCTGTTATGAATGATTGGTAACGCCTCAAATGGTTAACCCTTCTAAATCACTGCGCTGCAGAGATGATCGCTGGTATTTTCGATACAAAAATCGACTAGAAAATAATTGGAGAATTACAATCGCGAAAAGGATTATGTTGAGAGTGAGCAATCTGCATTGAAAATGACGCTATGAAAATGAGTAGTACTAGTAAATGCAAACAAATTTCCAATTCACAACATGCTGTTGCTACTGAAACAAACCAGCTGCAAATACAGCAAGCTAATCACCAAGAGTTTGAGGGATCCCATTTATATAAAAAGCGATATTTTCCACTTATCTGAGATGATAGCCGTGAGGAAGTAAGTGGAAAGCTTTACGAATATCGTGAAGATGCCGAAAATACTTATTATTTGCTGATACCTCATTTTACAAGATCGCCTCAATAGTGACACTTTGCAAAAGAACATAATTGTAAACTCATATCAGGTCTCCTTTCTAATCAGCGAGAATGGAATGGACTTTCCAATGATAACTATGTGTAATTTCAATCCAGTAAAGAAGTCTTACATTAAAGGTACGTGAATTTGATTGATTTTGAACTGCATAATTACGGTAATCATTTACTTTTCAGAACTGAACAAAACAGGCGAATTCTCAGATCATCTACTCGACTACCTCATGGAATCTCTAATGGATACGGAAGCATTCTACGGTAATGCCGATCGAGCAGAATTACATGTGGGTAAGTCGTATCATCTTGTGTGCTGATAAAACGCGATGCCTCCTCATGTTTCAGGAGATCGCGCTCTGCAAGTCTACCAAAAACAATACCCAAACTTCACATTTGAAGGATTTTTCGACGATGCTGGGTAGAGTACTTCCTTCACTCCTATGTTTTTTTTTTTACTGTAGCAACAATCTTCAATAAACTCTCT